GCGTGTGCGTGCGTGTGTGCGTGTGCTTGTGTGCGTGTGCGTGCGCGTGTGCGCGTGTGCGTGTGCGTGTGCGTGTGCGTGTGCGTGCGCGTGTGCGTGTGCGTGCGCGTGCGCGTGTGCGTGTGCGTGCGCGCGTGCGTGCGCGTGTGCGTGTGCGTGCGCGCGTGCGTGCGCGTGCGTGTGCGTGCGCGTGTATATGTGGGTATGTGTATGGGTATATGTGTGGGTATGTGTGTGGGTATATGTGTGGGTATGTGTGTGGGTATGTGTGTGGGTATGTATGTGTGGGGGTATGTGTGTGGGTATATATGTGTGGGGGTATGTGTGTGGGTATGTATGTGTGGGGGTATGTATGTGTGGGTATGTATGTGTGGGGGTATGAGTGGGGGTATGTATGTGTGGGGGTATGTGTGGGGGTATGTATGTGTGGGGGTATGTGTGGGGGTATGTATGTGTGGGGGTATGTGTGGGGGTATATGTGGGGGTATATGTGGGGGTATGTGGGTATATGTGGGTATATGTGGGTATATGTGGGTATATGTGGGTATATGTGGGTATATGTGGGTATAGGTGGGTATAGGTGGGTATATGTGGGTATAGGTGGGTATATGTGGGTATATGTGGGTATATGTGGGTATAGGTGGGTATATGTGGGTATATGTGGGTATATGTGGGTATATGTGGGAGTATATGTGGGTATATGTGGGTATAGGTAGGTAGGTGGGTAGGTAGGTAGGTGGGTAGGTGGGTAGGTAGGTAGGTAGGTAGGTAGGTAGGTAGGTAGGTAGGTAGGTAGGTGGGTAGGGAGGTAGGTGGGTAGGGAGGTAGGTGGGTAGGGAGGTAGGTGGGTGGGTAGGTGGGTAGGTGGGTGGGTGGGTGGGTAGGTGGGTAGGTGGGTGGGTAGGTGGGTAGGTAGGTAGGTGGGTAGGTAGGTAGGTAGGTAGGTAGGTAGGTAGGTGGGTAGGTAGGTAGGTAGGTAGGTAGGTAGGTAGGTAGGTGGGTGGGTAGGTAGGTAGGTAGGTAGGTAGGTAGGTAGGTAGGTAGGTAGGTAGGTAGGTGGGTAGGTAGGTAGGTAGGTGGGTAGGTAGGTGGGTAGGTGGGTAGGTAGGTGGGTAGGTGGGTGGGTAGGTGGGTGGGTAGGTGGGTAGGTAGGTAGGTAGGTAGGTAGGTGGGTGGGTAGGTAGGTGAGTGGGTAGGTAGGTGGGTGGGTAGGTGGGTGGGTGGGTAGGTGGGTGGGTGGGTAGGTAGGTGGGTGGGTAGGTGGGTGGGTAGGTGGGTGGGTAGGTAGGTGGGTAGGTAGGTGGGTAGGTATGTAGGTAGGTAGGTAGGTAGGTAGGTAGGTAGGTAGGTAGGTACGTAGGTAGGTAGGTAGGTAGGTAGGTAGGTAGGTAGGTAGGCAGGCAGGCAGGTAGGCAGGCAGGCAGGCAGGTAGGCAGGCAGGCAGGCAGGTAGGTAGGCAGGTAGGCAGGCAGGTAAGCAGGTAGGCAGGCAGGTAAGCAGGTAGGCAGGCAGGCAGGCAGGCAGGCAGGCAGGCAGGTATGTAGGTAGGTAGGTAGGTAGGTAGGTAGGTAGGTGTGTGTGTGTGTGTGTGTGTGTGTGTGTGTGTGTGTGTGTGGAAAGTGATCTCCGTTGTGTCTTGTCTTAGATCAAACCACAAATAGCATATATCATCAAGACAAAACAGCCCCCTCTGTCTTGTGTACTTCCTCCCCATCTCTGACACAGATGATCATCCTTGCTTTCATGCCAAACTGGGCAACATCTTTCCCCCTGCTTTCCGTTTGTCTCTCTTTCCCTCCAACTATCACGCTGTCACGATGAAATTCATTTTAAACCTCCGTGACTTCTGGCCAAACTGGGCGAACGGCTGAACAGGGTTTCAATGATTTGCGCCAGGGGAATTCTCATCCCAGTAATGATGCATTGCACTTTGCGTCGCAGGATGTTAATCCCTCAGTTCGCGATCCTAGCGAGGCACAAATTTACTGATTTCGTATACTTAATGAGTTCTTCTTCTTCCTCATTCTCTGCTCCTTTCCCTCATCCTCTTGTTCTTCAACCTCGAGTACATGCATGGACTTATTAGAGTGTATGAGGACTTCCGGTTAAAATGGACGTTAGGCATCGGCACTGTTCGAAACAGAGGCAAATATTTTGCTTCTGCCGGACGGTGGCCGATGCATTTTTGCTCCATTTATAGACTGGATATAGCTTCGTCGCCCAGCTTCTGAGTTGAATGCATGGCGTGACCCTGTGAGCTGCGGATTGCATTTGGAATGTTTTTTCGACTGTGACCAACGTGTTGGTGTGAATTGTAGATTCAGAAAATGGCGCGATGCCTGTTGTGCAGTGTTGTGATGCCCCTATGTGATTAAAATTGATCGCGTGGGCAACTGCTGATCTGTTGGCGACTTCTGCTACCATCAATGATGAACTGCAATTCTGTGATAAACATTCTGTTTTTCGTTGACACAAGAGCGGAGCAAAGATGGGGTGACTTGTTTGCTTTGAAGCTGAAACTAAGACTACCAGACTACCAGAGTGTATGATAGGTATAAATGAGTGTGTAAGTATACATGTGTGAGTGTGTAAGTATACATGTGTGAGTGTGTAAGTATACATGTGTGAGTGTGTAAGTATGCATGTGTGAGTGTGTAAGTATGCATGTGTGAGTGTGTAAGTATGCATGTGTGAGTATGTAAGTATACATGTGTGAGTATGTAAGTATACATGTGTGAGTATGTAAGTATACATGTGTGAGTATGTAAGTATGCATGTGTGAGTATGTAAGTATGCATGTGTGAGTATGTAAGTATGCATGTGTGAGTATGTAAGTATACATGTGTGAGTATGTAAGTATGCATGTGTGAGTATGTAAGTATACATGTGTGAGTATGTAAGTATACATGTGTGAGTATGTAAGTATGCATGTGTGAGTATGTAAGCATACATGTGTGAGTATGTAAGTATGCATGTGTGAGTGTGTAAGTATACATGTGTGAGTGTGTAAGTATACATGTGTGAGTATGTAAGTATGCATGTGTGAGTGTGTAAGTATACATGTGTGAGTGTGTAAGTATGCATGTGTGAGTGTGTAAGTATACATGTGTGAGTATGTAAGTATGCATGTGTGAGTGTGTAAGTATAAATGTGTGAGTGTGTAAGTATGCATGTGTGAGTGTGTAAGTATACATGTGTGAGTGTGTAAGTATGCATGTGTGAGTGTGTAAGTATACATGTGTGAGTGTGTAAGTAGGCATGTGTGAGTGTGTAAGTAGGCATGTGTGAGTGTGTAAGTATACTTGTGTGTGTGTGTGTGTGTGTGTAAGTATGCATGTGTGAGTGTACTTGTAAATGTGTGTGTGTGTCTGTGGGTTTTTTATGATGCGTGCGTGCGTGCATTGACGCCATTTTTTTTTTTTAATCTTGATATTCATTTAATGTAAACTATTGAAGAACACAATTTGCCGCATTGATAAAATACAATTGCAGTCCGAATGATGAGTGGTTGTAAGGGCAGAATGTGAGACGGGCCCGCGTGCCCAGTTTAGGACTTTCTGAAACTAACGTTCGTTCGTTCGTTCTTTCTATTCTTATTTTTCTTCTTCTTCGTGTTCTTGTTCTTCTTCTCTATCTCCTCCTCCATCTCCTTTTTCTTCTTGCCACTCCTTCTAATCCTTTGCGCTTTCAATGGACGGTTGGCATATTATGTTGTGGTTTTACTGTTATGCTGCGATATCTACGTCTGTCGGTCCAACACATTTGATAAAAGCCACTTTTGAGGTGTAGGCAGGGGGTCTTTGAGTCTGAGGATTTATGGCCGCGTGGCTAGTGCTGTCACCACGACTGTGCAGGTGAGGATTTAATTCTGCCCCCAACAGCCTTATCGAAGATTTGAAGCCGGGTCTTCCGCTTGAGAGCCCTGCGTTCTAACCGATCAGCCAGACGCTTCTCGATTTGATATGAGCAAATTCCGAATTAGTTGTCTTTCATATTAAATCTATTAAGGAGCATCATAAGTGCCCTGAGTGAAAGAAGGGGGGATAAGTTAACCAGTAACTGTGGTACTGTAAGAGTTAACCCACTTACCGATAAGGAAGGATCATCGATCTGCACCTGAAATACTTCAGAAAATCCTTTAACAGCACGATCCCAGCAGATCCCAGCTACCGCCAAGGCGATCCCATAACTTAATACCTTCAGAAACAGGTAGCGGTAGCTGTATGTCTCTCTCTTGCTCCCGACAGCATGCCCGTTGGTCAGTGGATGAGCGACGGCGGAAGAGTCTGAAATCTTCATCCACACAGGAAGATTGGCCGATGCGTCGGAGCCAAAACGTTTGAATAAATAAAACAAAACCCCGACAGACAGAAAGATACCTCCTAGGGTGTCGAAAAAGGCATCAACGAAGTAACCAAAGCTGGAATATACAGAGTTGTACTGTAAATGTCGACCTGCTTGAGTCCGGTATACAATTCCATCTAAAGAATCTAACCATGTTCTGAAAAAGTACAGTACAACTCCTATTCTTCGGTCATTAAGGTTTTCTGAAGCTATGAATTTGCCTGAAATGAAAGCGCACACTAGATGAAATATTGATACCATATTTGGGGAGATGAAGCTGAAAACTGTTGCGAAACTGGTGACTGTGTTGAAATATTCCGCTGTTGGCGTGAAAAAGTAATGTCGAAGGTGATCACTGATAATTGCTTTCACTGTCAGATGTGTAAAAGGACTGTAGACTTCACTCCGATCTCCGATTTTGGCTTCGTTCACAAGATTCACCGACCGGTAGCGGGTAAACAGAAAAATATCCATGATGAGAAAGTAGAGCAGCAAGATGGTCGACGTGATGAGCCAGAAGGCTCGGTTCATGGTGATGGCGGAGAATCTGGTGTCAAAGATGCGCCGCGGCCAGGCAGGAGGCGGTGTCCAGTAGGCTGTCAGCACTGGGAGTGGACAGAGTGACGTCAGCTTGTCCAGCCTGTGGAAGACACGAGGTCACTATGGTGAATGTTGTTGTCATCATTTGCAATTTATAAATTAAACACTGTGATTGATTTGTTACAGTTATAGACTGACTGATATATAAGACAGACAAACGGACGAATGGGCAAGCGGGGGCGGTCGGACAGACAAACAGACAGAGGAATGGATGGATGGACGGACGGACGGACAGACAGATGGACAGATAGACGGACGGGCATATTAGGCACGCAGGCCCGTCTTACATTCGGCCCTTCCCACACCCGTATTTCACACAGCAGCTGCATTTTATCAATAAAGTTCATGTAATAATATGCATATTATGAATAGCAGGTCAGAAACAAAAGCAAGAGTGGTAAAATACGCACGCAACGTTGCTCGTTGCCTGTTCACTTTTACTGACGAACTTGTAATGTCTAGATGGCAAGACAGTGATTGATAATTGCTTTTAGATCCGTTGTTCAAACCTCAAAACCTCAGACGACGAGGAGAAGGACATTAACTTTCTTCCTCTTCTTCTTTTTCTTCTTCTTGCTCTTGCGCTTGTTCTTCTTCTTGTTCTTTTTGTTCTTCTTGTTCTTCTTGTTCTTCTTGTTCTTCTTGTTCTTCTTGTTCTTCTTGTTCTTCTTGTTCTTCTTCTTCTTCTTCTTGTTCTTCTTCTTCTTCTTCTTGTTCTTCTTCTTCTTCTTCTTCTTCTTCTTCTTCTTCTTCTTCTTCTTCTTCTTCTTCTATGTTTTTCTTCTTTTTCTTCTTCCTCTTCTACTTCTTCTTCTTCTTCTTTTTCTTTTTCTTCTTCTTTTTCTTCTTCTTCTTCTTTTTCTTCTTCTTCTTCTTCTTCATCGTCATCTTCTTCTTCTTTCATCTTCTTCCTTTTCTTCTTCTTCTTTATCTTCCCCTTTTGTCACATTTTAGGGCAACGCAGGGCGAGAAAGAAAAAATTAGGAGGGGGGGGGGGCGGCAGGGGGTTGAGGTTTCAGTCTCAAGATTCAGAGTCTCATGGCTGGTGTTGATATAAGCAGGTACGAGAATTCTACCTTCTTGTTTGCCCTGACAGAAACAAAAGTGACATTTTAATTTTACCAGGAATCAAACCGTGGTCATCCGAACGAGAGGTAAGGGTCCTAAACGCTAAACACTGGTCATACACTGCTACAGAACTGTTGAAATGCGCGGCAAGGATAAATAAAGAGATTAAAATACTGCACCAACTGGTGATATTAATGGATGCAGAGATAGCGAGATTCTAGAAGACAGTCTTGTCCCATGGCACGCACAGATAGCAGCGATGAATTGATACTTTCTGTCTAGAGACGGTATGGGTTGTATGTAGGAGGCACAAGCAGCTTTCCGGAAGGGTAGGAGATCAAGTGTTTTTATCTTTGGAACTGCTGCTGCTGCTGCTACTACTATTATTGCTGCTGCTGCTCTACTACTACTACTACTACTACTATTGCTGCTGTTACTACTACTACTTCTTCTGCTTCTTCTTCTTTATCTTTTTCTTCACTTGTCTTTTTCATTTTTCTTCTTCTTCTACTTCTTCTTCTTTATCTTTTTTCTTCACTTTTCTTCTTCATTCTTCTTCTTCATTCTTCTTCTTCATTCTTCTTCTTCATTCTTCTTCTTCATTCTTCTTCTTCATTCTTCTTCTTCATTCTTCTTCTTCATTCTTCTTCTTCATTCTTCTTCTTCATTCTTCTTCTTCATTCTTCTTCTTCATTCTTCTTCTTCATTCTTCTTCTTCATTCTTCTTCTTCATTCTTCATTCTTCATTCTTCATTCTTCTTCTTCATTCTTCTTCTTCATTCTTCTTCTTCATTCTTCTTCTTCATTCTTCTTCTTCATTCTTCTTCTTCATTCTTCTTCTTCATTCTTCTTCTTCATTCTTCTTCTTCTTCTTCTTCTTCTTCTTCTTCTTCTTCTTCTTCTTCTTCTTCTTCTTCTTCTTCTTCTTCTTCTTCTTTTTTTTTTTTTCTTTTTCTTTTTCTTTTTCTTTTTCTTTTTCTTCTTCTTCTTCTTCTTGTTATTATTATTATTATTATTATTATTATTATTATTATTATTATTATTATTATTATTATTATTATTATTATTATTATTATTATTCTTTTTCTTCTGCTTTGTCTTATTTTTCTTCTGTGTTCGCCCTTAAGAGTTAGAAGATTTTGTTGTTGTTGACGGCGAGGTTGCAATAACTAAACCTTTCGACGAGAAACATCCGTTTCCAGAAACCCCTAATTAATCACATGTTGCATGCTTTTAAAGTAACAGTGGATCAATGCTTCTCATACTCCATCAACAAGGGATTATGAACCCACACAGGACCAGGAACCCACACGGGACCAGGAACCCACACGGGACCAGGAACCCACACGGGGATGCACAGTAGGAAGGTTTCAAGGTCAGAATAATTGATCAACATCATTACACACGGGTAGTAACCCCTAGGTGCTCCGTTTTTCTTCTAACACCAGTATGAGTCCGAAGATGCGCAGCACAGTGCATTTGCTCTTTAGCACCGGCGATGCTCCTCAAATACTTTGGGTACATTTTTAACACCAAATTTTGCTCAAGCAGCCCTGTTAGGCTACTCTTTTTGATTTCCAACTGCCTAGGGATTTTTTACGTGCGCAACAATGCACAAGGGGCGTCCGATCTCACTACCCAGAAACTAGGGGAAATTACTAAGAAGTCCGGGTCCACGTGAAAAAAATCCTAGCCCCTACCAGGGATTGAACCCGGAACCTCTAGCACTCGAGGCAGACACCATGCCTCAGGACCATGCAGCCCCTCTGCCCCACCCCCTCCCCCTTTCACAGTACGAAGAAATCGTTAAGCAATTTAGAGCACATTTTTTTCAGTTCGTTTATTCGTACGAAAACGTTCACTACGTTTTTCCCCGCATTAGTGCGGTATTTGCGTAACGGATCTTTTCGGCAATTTGTTGTCTTGTGCGATCCTTCTAAACATGCAGACAACAATGTACGGTTCGGGTTTCTTAATCACGGTCCCGGAGGGATCAATATTCAACACAGCTTAATTTTATTTTATTTATTTACTTGTTCATTTATTTAACATTTTCATATTTCTTTTGCTCTTTTTACATATGCCTTCGTATTCTTACTTTTCCCCCTCATTTTTTAAAATTAGCTTTGTTCTCTTGCCCTTTGAGTTTAGTCGTAGTTTGTGCTGTGTTTAGTAGTCCGTTAAGTAAGACTTTGGTCAAAGCGGTCGGCTGTGTTTGTGTGCGTCTTTTCCATAACCTCCGTTGATTGAGTTTTCTAATCACATTTTGTGTTATACTTAACATTTCTTGCAATCAGCTTGACTGCTGTCACCCCCTAGTTAAGTCTTCTTAAACTATAGACAAGCCGATGACAAACACATCTAATGTTAGTCAAAATTTATAATCAAGGATAACACCACGGGCAGACACAAAACGAGATAAGTATATCCTGAAAGTAATTAACTGACATAATGAACTGATTGGTCGGCTCCGTGGCTAAGTCGATGCAAACGCTTCGTAATGCCGGGATGCCGGGTTCGATCCCAGCTGCGGGACATGCACCTTGCTTTGGTTTTGACAGTGGTATCAAGAAAGCCGACCGTCCAGATAGCAATGGCAAACTACTTAACGTAATTTGCCTAGAAAAAACCACACAAACGCCCAGGGGCTGTTGGGGTTGGTTCTGCAACGTCCTGTAAAGGATACGCAACGTCCTGTAAAGGATACGCAACTAACCTAAATGAACTGATTAAGCGTTGAGTAATCCGTTAACTTTAACGCACTTAGGTACACTGATAATTTTGTGAAGTGATTTTGGAATGACCTCTCGAGGGTCAAGGCCTAAGTATGTTGAACTGGAGTCCAAGCTTTTTCCTACGTAGCAGGTAACCATCGCTTTCCCCTCCCCCTTCCCCAATCACCCTCCCCAACCGTTGAAAAAAAAATCCCACCCTTACCTGGGCGAATACCATTCATACAAAGTTCTTTGGTCATGTGATAAGAAAAGGAGCAGTGAAAAATATCGAGACGACTGGGACCAAATCACTGGTAGAAGAGGCAGAGGCAGACCAAGAGAAGCGATGGTGGATGGTTTAGGACAGTGGCATCGAGGAATATCATCAGTGGAATTGATTTAGAACACCAAAGACCGAGATTTGTGGAGATGCATGAACGCCTGGCAAGGCACTTGATGATGATGATGAATAGCCTTATAGTATCTTGAAAACGTAGCGTTATAGCAGTGAAGACCAGACATCGTTTTTCAGGTGGCACTCGCGTGTGTGTACTTGTGTGTGTGTGTGCGTGTGTGCGTGTGTGGAAAGGGGGGGGGGGAAGGAAGCGGGGGATACTTTGTAAATAAGCTTCGACTGAAGGGAATCAAACTGCCCGAGGGAGCTGTTATCATGCATAGGCAACACACTACTTCCCAGGCTTTGTGCTGCTAAAAGAGATCTTTTGCTTTCGTATTATTTTAGCATAATAAAGGATAACACTATCGTCTGGAAAAAGAAAGGCGCCAATCAAAAACAAACAATACAATATCCAATATCTTTAAATACACTGTTCTCGACTAGTTTTTTTCTTTTGCGGCTATCGTTTAAATACATCTGTTATTAACTTGGAAGTCTACGTGGCTTAAAGGTGTCACTCTAAATTATTTTTTGCATATTTCTAGACTTATCGCTTCGCATTATATCTCATTGTGAAGTTCTTTCTTTGGATCTGCAAGGAAACTATTTGGCAAATTGGCTCAACCAAATGTCAAATGTCAAAAAAGGTTAAAGGTCATGTATAGATAAAAACCACTTACAGACATTGGCGTGGTGGCCACGAAAACATGGGGGGGGGGGGGGGGGAGGACGGAGGGGGAGCCTCAGTGATTTAATTTTGTCTTAGGGTAGGGGAGCCTTAGGACACTAAATTGTAGGTACGTGCTTTGCTGGAGAGAAAAAAAAATCGGCCCGTTTAACAAAGATCTTTAAAGGGGGAGCTTTAGGTTATAATTGTGACTAGGTTATGTGCGCTATATAAAATGGTTTAACAATGCACGCCCCCGAGTAGCCCTGAAAAGGACTCCTGCTGTGTGGATGCGATCACAGGAGATAGACATAAATACTGTCCCGATCAGCAACGAAGTCGTCTGCCGGCGAGCCGGAAGGGCGACCCGGTCGCCGTTTAAAAAGCGAGGGGTGGGGGTTCTGCTCCATAATCCTTTTTGGGAGAGGGCTCCCTGAAAAAAACCTTTGGGGAGCGTGGGGTCTCAAGGTGCAAAACTCCCAGTTTCCAGCGCCAATGCCTAGAGGTATGTGTCTATAGGTGGAAATAAGGCATGCCACAACAAAGTTGGGAACGAACATTCAGAGATAAACCAACCTCAGACAAATAGGAAGATATCAATCACTATAGGAGTCTATATGTATTTATTACAATGCAAATGAAATGGTTCGTCCACATTGTAAGAATGCAACCTCATCGTGTGGGTTTCCCTGTACCATTGTAGGGAAAACAAGTACAGACACATTGCCTACCCAAAAGCATGCAACAGAAAGCGATAATTAGGAGCTTCCTTTGAAATCGGAGTGCATTAGCCGGTTTTAAAAAAAAGGGGAGTGAGTCAAATCTGGAAAACAGATGTTCAGGCAACATTCAGACACCAGAGTCCATATAAGATAATAATACGCCGTACCACAAAATTTCATTGTGCATATTGCAAAAAATTATCAGGCAGCAGAAGGAATAACAAGCCAATCAATATAAATGTGTGTGTGTGTGTGTGTGTGTGTGTGTGTGCGTGCGTGTGTGTGTGCGCGCATGTGTGTGTGTTTGTGCGTGTCTAAACTGATGTTTAAACAAACTGATGCAGCATAAATAATTCACAGCGATTTAGATTCTGCAGCACGGACAGAAAGAATAAAATTATTATTATTATTATATATTGAACCAAAAATAAAATATTTGAAACAGTTTGCCATGTGTGTGTGAGTCTATATATATGTATGTGTATATATATATATATATATATATATATATATATATATATATATATATATATATATATATATATATATATATATATATATATATATATATATATAAAACAATATCTGAGTAGAGATGCAAATCAATGTTGTGGTAATATGCCCCATAACATCAGTGAGTACAACACAGAGATACATGATATCGATTACCGTAATTTATTCCGGTATCAATCAACCACACCTACGCCAGGTGGCGCCCTTTTGACGCCAAGAAGTTCGTGAAACCGCAGGCAAATCGCTCCCAATTTGGCAACATAAAAACATGGACGTCGGCATATTGTTTGAGTCTTATTTTATGAGTTTGTCCTAATCATCATCATGTAACGTTTTCCCGTGCAGAACGTTGCTTTCATCACGACACGTTATATGGCTAAGGGGTTCCACTGTTTATTATTTTTTATATTAAAACGAGAATTGAACCACTGCCTGTCTAAAAGCATGTCGTAAGAGTCGACTAACTGGGAGCACCCTTCAAAGTCGGAGTACATCTGCGCGAGAGGCAAGGAGTCAACAGTCTGCATGCAAATAACTCAGACCTGTGAAGCACATGTACACGCAACACACAGTTTCTGGAACAGGACTAGAGTCCAGAAGTGGACGAACAACCAGAACATTTCCGCTGGCGTTTTATAGCCGGCGAACGCAAAAGAAAAAGAAGTTTATATTCGGAATTTAATATATTAGGAGCACCAGTGCTGTCTTAACACGTTGGCCTGATAGGCACTTGCGGGGGGAGGCGGGCACGAACGTAGGGGTCCCATGCTAATATGTGTATGCCATGTGACCGTTTATGTTTCATTCCTGCGAATGGTTGTCGGAGATGCTCTAGCACAATGGTTTGCGCAGAGGCCTCACAATGCTGTTAAGACGGTTCTTGGAGAACGTGTGGGAGGGGAGGAGAGGGAGAGGATGGGATCTCCAAAATATGTCGAGGGCTTAGGGCATCAGAAGGGAATCAATGCGGCCCTTATGGGAGTGTGTAGCTAACAGAACCTATGCTGGATATATAGTCTGCGGGCTGCTAGGCAACAAGTCCAGCCAGATTTATTTAGCATGTCGAAACAAAACACGAAAAGAAAACACCACAGCGTGCGTGCGTGCGTTTTAATCTGTAATTTAAAATTTATTTTAGTCTGTGTATCTTGTTAACGCTTTAATTAAACTGTTCATTAAACCAATGTTAAACAATTTTAAGTCTGAATTTAAGCATTACTTTAATTCTGTCTTAAGCTAATCTTCTATCTGTGGTAAACTCTTAAGTCTGTAGAAAACACTTATTTAAGTATGTATTTAAACAGTTCTTTTAGTTCGTATTTAAACACTTGTTTTATGTATAATTAAAACAAAACTTTCATATTTTACTATATAAAAACTGGAAAAACAATTTTTACATCAAGACATACGGCTCACCTGGCCATCCTTCCGTTATCTCCATAAGTATGAATCATCTTTTGGTCGACTGTGGCCATTCTGTGACCATCAGACCATCCGAGTTAATTAGGGGACTTTGGCTGTCACATTCTGAAAATTGAGGTCATTTGTGATAAGTAAGTTACGCAGTGTTGAGCAAGTGACATGAGGGGATTGAGGGCAACACACTGACGGACAGTGAAGCGATGGTAAAAAGAAAAAGAGGTGAAAACATTAATCTGGCAATTAGATTTGCGTGTGAACTGGCAGACGAGAAAAGTAATCTAGATTAGGAAGTGGAAGGTTTTAATGGCCATGGGATTTCATATAACAAGATAAATCACAATAAGAAAAAACAATTGTTACCATCATTATGTTTCTTGAAAGATAGCGTAGACTAGGGGCATCGGAACCCCATAGGTTTAGGCGCTCTGACGCCCCCCCCCCCACCCCCCCCCCCGTTTTCTCACCCACCCACCCACCCACAAAACAACAACATACCACGCTTAAACAATCAGTCACGTAGAAGGTCTCGCTTTCTGTGTTGTAATAAATATTATGTTGTTTTTTTCCTATATTATTATTTTACGGCAGGAAACAAAACAAAAAACAAAAAAAATATACCAAAATTGGAAAAAGGAAACAAAGAAAAACACAGTCCGAAAGAAAGGCAGAAAGAAACAAACAAACAAACAAACAAAGAAAAGAAAGAAAAAAGAAAAAGAAAGAAAGAAAGAAAGAAAGAAAGAAAGAAAGAAAGAAAGAAAGAAAGAAAGAAAGAAAGAAAGAAAGAAAGAAAGAAAGAAAGAAAGAAAGAAAGAAAGAAAGAAAGAAAGAAAGAAAGAAAGAAAGAAAGAAAGAAAGAAAGAATAGAAATACTGACATAAAGAAAACCAAAAAGAAATATAGAAAGGCAGAAAGAAAGACAAAAAGAAAGAAAGAAAGAAAGAAAGAAAGAAAGAAAGAAAGAAAAAAAGAAAGAAAGAAAGAAAGAAAGAAAGAAAGAAAGAAAGAAAGAAAGAAAGAAAAAGAAAGAAAGAAAGAAAGAAAGAAAGAATGTAAATACTGACAGACAGACAAACAGAAAAAAAAAATCAAGACCGAAAGAAAACCATAAAAAGAGGGACCAAAAAGAAAAAAAAATTCAAACAAAAAATACAGTAAGAACTATTACACCCAGAAGTCTCTTCAGTAAAGTATACGTTTTGTTTTCGCCGATAAAGACTTTTGTCGAAACGTTAGCTTCTTTTCTGTTTTTCTCGCCATCCATCAATAATTCTTGTTGCGTTTGCTTGTGTTCGGTCATGGCTGACATCAGCCCCACAGCTGTGACATACATAACACAGATACCAGCAAAAATAGGGTACATTGTGACAAGACTTTATCAACAGAAAATATAGAAATGTCAAATACAACCGGGTGCGAAAGTAATAACCACACGTACACACATTGATAAATAATTTTTTAAACTAACACTACCCTCGTGTGGCTTTGAGCGCCTCCTTGGGGGAAAGGCAAAAAGGGGGTTTAATGTAGGCCAATTGAAAATAACAAACAACTCAAAAAACGCTAATAATTTAGGGTTTGTTGAAATTGAATGTAATGGGCCTAGCGGTGCAGATATCGCAGCCTAGCTGCAAATCACATTACTATATGACAACCACCCTTTCAAGGCCCAATACAGAAGAAGAAGAAATGGAAACAACTCATTACAATGAAAAAAATAACTAGAATACTGTTTCCTTCTCATAGTTGAGTATCAAGAAAGAACAGTGTCTTATTCTTATTTGTTGAGAATAATTAAAGAACATTGTCTCCTCTCATTCTTGAGTATAATGAAAGAATATTATCTCCTCTCATTCTTGAGTATAATGAAAGAATATTATCTCCTCTCATTCTTGAGTATAATTAAAGAACATTGTCTCCTCTCATTCTTGAGTAAAATTCAAGAATATTATCTCCTTTCATTCTTGATAACAAACGAACATTATCTCCTCTCATTCTTAAGTAAAATGAAAGAACATTATCTCCTCGCCTTGATTATAACGAAAGAACATTATCTTCTCTTATTCTTGAGTAAAATGAAAGAACATTATCTCCTCTTATTATTGAGTAAAATTAAGGAATATTGTCCCCTCTCATTCTTGAGCATAATGAAAGAACATTATCTCCTCTCATTCTTAAGTAAAATGAAAGAACATTATCTCCTCTCATTCTTGAGCATAATGAAAGAACATTGTCTCCTCTCATTCTTGAGCATAATGAAAGAACATTGTCTCCTCTCATTCTTGAGCATAATGAAAGAACATTGTCTCCTCTCATTCTTGAGTAAAATTCAAGAATATTATCTCCTTTCATTCTTGATAACAAACGAACATTATCTCCTCTCATTCTTAAGTAAAATGAAAGAACATTATCTCCTCGCCTTGATTATAACGAAAGAACATTATCTTCTCTTATTCTTGAGTAAAATGAAAGAACATTATCTCCTCTTATTATTGAGTAAAATTAAGGAATATTGTCCCCTCTCATTCTTGAGCATAATGAAAGAACATTATCTCCTCTCATTCTTAAGTAAAATGAAAGAACATTATCTCCTCTCATTCTTGAGCATAATGAAAGAACATTGTCTCCTCTCATTCTTGAGCATAATGAAAGAACATTGTCTCCTCTCATTCTTGAGCATAATGAAAGAACATTGTCTCCTCTCATTCTTGAGTAAAATTCAAGAATATTATCTCCTTTCATTCTTGATAACAAACGAACATTATCTCCTCTCATTCTTGAGCATAATGAAAGAACATTGTCTCCTCTCATTCTTGAGCATAATGAAAGAACATTGTCTCCTCTCATTCTTGAGTAAAATTCAAGAATATTATCTCCTTTCATTCTTGATAACAAACGAACATTATCTCCTCTCATTCTTAAGTAAAATGAAAGAACATTATCTCCTCGCCTTGATTATAACGAAAGAACATTATCTTCTCTTATTCTTGAGTAAAATGAAAGAACATTATCTCCTCTTATTATTGAGTAAAATTAAGGAATATTGTCCCCTCTCATTCTTGAGCATAATGAAAGAACATTATCTCCTCTCATTCTTAAGTAAAATGAAAGAACATTATCTCCTCTCATTCTTAAGTAAAATGAAAGAACATTATCTCCTCTCATTCTTGAGTAAAATGAAAGAACATTATCTCCTCTCATTCTTAAGTAAAATGAAAGAACATTATCTCCTCTCATTCTTGAGTAAAATGAAAGAACATTATCTCCTCTCATTCTTAAGTAAAATGAAAGAACATTATCTCCTCTCATTCTTGGGGAAAATGAAAGAAAAGCGTCCCATTCTTATCTGTATTTCAGTGGATTTTGTTTTCTCCAGATTTTGTTTTTCACTCTAAGTTAATCTAACCCTTTGGGCACGTAACTAGATAAGCAAGGTATAGGCAAGAAAACAATAAGGACCCTTTTCCTAGCCTTCTGTCGTATTGGGCATATAGGGCGAGACCTGTAAACACCAATCGACGCTCTGTGGGTGATGTGATCTGCATCATGCCAGCCGCCTTTCTTTCCCAGGACTTTACCTGGTACCCATTTAAAGCAGGATGGACATGGGATTCATGGTCATGTGTGAAAAATGTCAGATTCCGTTAAGACTTAAACCCAGGACCTATGGATCAACTGGCAAACGTCTAAAGCAAAATATGCCTGGCAGTGAACTACGCGATATATTGTTTGTGGTCGCATTATTCATTGAGGGAAAAACACTTTTGAAAACGAGAGCTCTATTTTATCCTATACTGACCTGGAGAAGGAACTAGCAAATGTGTGTATGTAGGCATGTAGGCGTGCGTGTATGTCTGCTTGTTCAATAAATGTGCAATAAAATGATTACATGTAAGGAAACTGGAAAAGAAAATTTGGTCACGACAAGAAAGAGGATGAAGAAGAGTTCACACAGTTATACAGTAGGGAAATATGTAGGCATGTAGGCAGTGAAGCATTTACTGGCATGTGAGCAGACACTGGGACATACATGTGAGCAGACACTGGGACATACATGTGAGCAGACACTGGGACATAAATGTGAGCAGACACTGGGATATACATGTGAGCAGACACTGGGACATACATGTGAGCAGACACTGGGTCATACATGTAAGCAGGCACTGGTAAATGCATGTGAGCAGACACTGGGACATACATGTGAGCAGACACTGGGACATACATGTGATCAGACACTGGGCCATACATGTGAGCAGACACTGAGACATACATGTGAGCAGACATTGGGACATACATGTGAGCAGACACTGGGACATACATGTGAGCAGACACTGGGACATACATGTGAGCAGACATTGGGACATACATGTGAGCAGACACTGGGACATACATGTGAGCAGACATTGGGACATACATGTGAGCAGACATTGGAACATACATGTGAGCAGACACAGGGACATACATGTGAGCAGACACTGGGACATACATGTAACGGAACAGATTGCTCATTGATCAGTCTATAATTCTGCTGCAGAGAAAGATCAAGAGAAAGAAAGAATAGGAAATATGAAGAGAAGAAGTGGAGAAAGAAAGTTTGGTGGAAGATTTAAAGAAAAAAAAAAAGAATCGATGAATCGTGAGAAAGAAGGATAAGTGCGCGGAAGAAAGGAATGTATATCAGAAGGAATGTAATCATTGAGAAGGAAGAGGGTAGACAGGAAGGGTGTAGGGAAGGATAGAGGGAAATAATGAACAACGGAAGAAATAAAGACGGACGGACAGACAGAGAGACAGTCAGACATACTGACGGACGGACAGACGGACGGACAGACAGACAGACGGACAGACAAACTGAGAGAAAGACAGACGGACAAAGAGAGAGACGGCCGAACAGACAGACGGACGGACAGACGGATGGACAGACAGACGGACAGGCAGACGGAGAGAAAGACGGAGATAAAGACGGACGGACAAAGAGACTGACGAAAAACATACAGACGGACAGGCAGGTGCACGGAGGACAGACAAATACTCTTGCACGCTTATCCAAGTC